ATCCAGTAGCTTTTCAAAATTTCCTTTTCTGTATAAGTCATCTGTGTCTTTGGGAGAAAATTTCCCCATCCATCCTATAGGCACTTAGTGGCACTGATTAACCATCCTAGGCCACTCTCTCTTAAATGATGTCATTTTATTTTCTGCTTTGAACTTATTGTCTGACATTTTATTTTTTAAAATTCCTTTTCTTGGTAACTGCTTTACCCTATCCTTCAACACAAGCTCTAAGAAAATAAAAACTTTCAGTGGAGGATCTCTAGCACTTCAAAGGGAACTTGGCACACAGTGGGTGGTCAATAAATATTTGATGAATGAGTGAATCTACCCCGGCCTCTCTCATGTTTCTTGACCACAAGTCCCTCCTGGGCCTTCTCATTCTGCTCTCTCACTACATTACACTAATTAATGACCCACAGATCTGCTTCTATCCCCATGTCTTTATCCAGGCTCCTCTGCTGCTTTGGGTATTCTTTTCACCAAATGCTGACTTTACTCATTTTAAAAGATTTAGCTCAAGTATTCCCTTTGGAATCATTCCTCTTTACAACAATATTTCTCCATCATCTCTTATGAATTATAAGCTCCTTTAAAACACATAAACGTATCCTACTATTTTCTTTTCTGAAACTCAGCCCACACCCCCACTAAGTAGTAGTTCATTTATTTTCTCCTTTTTACATTAAAACTTTTGAAACAAGTTTCTATGCATGATAGCAGTGGAAAGACAGAGGAACAAAATGACCTAAGACACACTGAAAACAATTAGCAAAATGGTAAACATAACCCTGCTTTATCAGGAAATTACATTAAAGGTAAATGGGCTAAGCACACCAATCAGAAAGCAGAGGTTGTCAGAATGAGTACACACACACACACACACAAAACGTCCAACTTAATACAGTCCACAAAAAACACCTTTTCATTCAGAGATGCAAATAGGTTCAAAGTAAAGGAATTCAAAGAAGATATACTATGCAAAGAATAACCAAAGCAGAATTAGAGTGGGTAGATTAATATTGATGAAATAGACAATTCTTTTATTAGAGACAAGACATTTGAGAAAATAAAATGGTTAATTCATTAAGAAGATATAGCAATTACAAGCATACAGTATGTGTACCTAACAATAGAATCCCAAAATACATGAAGCAAAAGCTGACAGAATTGAAGCGAGGTATCGGTCTTCAATACTTCACATTCTATAATGAATAGGGCAATTAGGCAGAAGATTGGTAAGGAAGTAGAGGATGTGAACACTATATTCACATTGGATCTAATGGGCACAAAGAATACGCCATTTGACACCCTGAGAGGTTATGGGCAATGCTGCAGGATTTCAGGCATGCAGCACTCGATACATGTTCATGACTGCATTGCCAGTATTATGCATTTCACCATAGGAGGTACAGAAGATTCAAACCACTAACTTCAGTTTCAAAGTTGAGCAATACAACTGGGAGAATAACATGTGCATTTGTTATTTGAAATATTGTTACTTGAAATAACTTGAAAAATCATGACTGCTTCAAATCTCATTTCAGATAAAAAGAGGGTCTGGATATAGTTATTGGGATTTATGGTAGGAAGTCACAGAAGTGTTTTTAAATGCCAGCTTTAGGATTTATAAGCTTCACAATCTTAGACAATGTGTTTAACTGGCATGACTCTTTGCTTCCTCATCTGTAAGATGGAGACATCTATAATTGTGATAATGACAGCCATGTATGTAAGAACTAGAATGATATTTAACAAGAGAAAGTATTCAAAAAATGACCTCTCAGACAACATGCACGCCACATAATTATTATGGCTAAGTAATTTAGATTTAATGAAGAAACATACTATATAAAAAGAAAGACTAGGCACAGATTTTAATCAAAGGGAACGGATCTGGACTGACCAAAAGACAGGATAGCCCTCAGTGCCCAAATGATAAATTAGACCAGTTTAAAAAGCACTAAAACGTTTATAGTGTATGACCACGAAAAGGTTCTTCTCTCCAGTACCCCTCAGATATTCCCTTTGTTTTAAAATAGCTACAAAGTTGTTCATGTTTTAAGGTATTCTGACAACTACTTTATTTAGAATAATCAAATATTAGTTGGGAAGAATACACAAGCTGGAAATAGTATCATTCAATGCTCATTTGGGATGCTTGTAGAGATTACTGGGAAATAAATTACTTACTAATGCAATTTGACTCAGTAATTTGGACACTTTCCTCAAGGGCATTACTTCATAATTGTCGATTGTCTGTTAACTAGTGCTATTACTTCATAATTGGAAGTACTGAACACTGTAGTCCCTGAGACCTTCTTATGTGGTACTGGGGATTGAAGCCAAGGGTTACTGAGCCACATCCTCAGCCCTTTTGTTTTTTTTTTAATTTTTGAGACAAGATCATACTGAGTTACCCAAGCTGGCCTTGAACTTATGGACCTCTTGCCTTATCCTCTAGAATAGCTGGGCTCACCGGGTGCATGGTGCCCAGCTATAGCCAAGGTCAATTTAAAACAATAGCATAAGCAATCACATTGTAAAACACAAAAATTCCTTTACAGTGGAAACAAAGAGAACTTGCCTTATTATATGCAAATGACAACTTGTGTGAGGGATAGAATATGTGTTAAGGATGACAATAAGCTCTGGAGAACCACTGGATGATGGGATGAATATCCTTACTGCAGATACTAATGTCAAAGATGTATGTAAAGGTGTTAGATAACGCCGGTCCATGAAATGTGAATGTAAAAGAGTAGTATTTGTTTAAAAAAAGAAAACAACATCATTTCATACGGTTTGTGATTTTAATAGATATGGGTGACTAAATTATAAATAGATATGTATCTTATCTACATCCCTGAAAGTTTTATTTACACAGGCTGACCAAAATCCTCCGCAGGGAGAGAGGAGAGTTATTGGCTCACAGGCAGTCAGGTCCTAAACCAGATGGAAATTCTGAAAGATTACAAGATGAGGTTGAAGAAAATGTGAGGGAAATACCACCACCATAATGCCCAAGAGGATGACGAGGCTTGGGTGGTGGCAGTGAGAATAGAGAAGTAGAAACCCATGCAGAAATCACACTGAAAAATAGTAGATTGCTTCTTTTGGTGGCCCTTTGGTTTCCACAGTCAACAATTACAAAGTTTTGAGTCTTCGGAGCCCAGGGAAAAAATGATACAAAAAAATGCAGATGCTGAATGAATAAACCCAGATGATCAATGAAGTAATTTCATTATCTCATACTGAGGTAAATACGTTGCACCCGTCACCCAAACTATGCCTGAAGCCTAGTTTTACAGTGAACTAGCTAAAAAGTATACCTACACGGTACACTTGCTGATGATAACCAAAACAGAGAAAAGGAGATATTGAAAAAAATGAGAAAATGTAAGTGACCAATGAGATAATTTCCCTGGATAGGTATGCATGTCTTACCCACTACCGAAGCTATGTGTCAAAGCTAGTTTTACAATGACCTAACTAACATAGGTATTTTGGTAGTTTAAAAGTTGATATTGAGTATGTATTATTGGTAAAAGAAAAAATGAGAGCACTAGAGATGATCACAAAAATGGACCAACTCCAGGCTAGACACTCAAAATGCTTGCAGGCTTGAAAGATAAGTAGTTCTAGACCTGGTATAAGGAAGGACTGAGGGGAAACCCTCTGGTTGGAAGCTAAGGATGGAGGAACTTACTTAAAGCAATACGCCACTGCTAACACTATTCTGTTTATTGGCATGGTGTCACAGGGATGCTAATTCTAATAGGAACATCAGGTCTCACTTGACTCGATAACATTTTAGTCCTATCACTGCAGGAAAATTAGAACAAACTATCAAGCATGAACTTAATGCCAAGAAGATGCAGAATACTTGTAAATAAGAAGAATGTTTAATGCCTCAACTAGAAATGGAGCTCAGGTTAAAAGTTCAGGGCTGAAAGTAGAAGGTTTAACATCAAAACCAGAAGGCTAGATGAGCTCTTGCAGTAAAGCAAGTTCCCCCAAGAAGCTGAAAGGCTGTTACTGTGAAATTTAAGATTAAAGGCAGTTCTCTTGATGCTTCCAAACAAAGTTTGTGTCTCCACTTGAGAAGCACATCCAATATGGCAGCTGCTGGACACAGGATCATTTAAAATGAAAAGAATTTAAATAAAATGTATTAAATTTAAAATTCCTTTCTTCAAAACCAGAGCGGTCATCATTTGTTACTCCCTCACAGCAGTTTGGGTTACTTCTTCAGAGGGGGGGATGTTATAGGCAGCTGAGTTAGACAGAAATATTATAGGCAGTCAGACAGGGCCAGGCCCTGGAAGGAGCCAACATGAAAGACAAGGTAAGATACCTGTGGGCCAGACCTCAAGACAAAAGGACTAAACAAATGCACCCACATACCTCCCTAGGTGTGAACAGCAAGGATTGATACTCCAAACAAGTAACAATCACCTTCAAAAAGCCAGAGCCATTAGCCCACCCCCTACAGGAAAAGCCCCTGTTCTGTATTCATGCCCTCTTGCTACGAGACTCGTTTCCCCATTTGTTCCTATTATACTTGTAATCTTATTGGCTGACCATAGTTTTGTCCCACCTCATGCCCACCTTGTAATTTCCCATTTTCCCCCTTTCTTGGACCCGCCTCACCTAGGGGTATTGCTCTATAAAGTACCTGGGAAGGGCAGGGTCATTGGCAACCCACTCGGGCCCCCTTCTGTCCCTCTCTTGGACAGAAGCTTTCTTTCCCTCAATAAATATATTCTGCTCTTAAGTAAATAAATACATAAATAAACAAAATTCTCTTCTTCAGTTCCAGTCACCATCTTCCAGAGGCTCAGTAGGCACATGTGGCAAGGAGCTACCACACTGGGGAGGGTAAGGGTGGAGCACTGTTGGGAGCACTGAGACGGCCTAGACAATACACACCAAGTAAGGGGTATTTACTCCACTGGAGCACCTGCAGGAGGCATGCACGTTCTACACAGAAACACCTTTACCTTGACCACAATGAAGGTAGCTCTTCTTGTAAGTCAACATTAAACTCTTCGAACACTTTCTGTGCTTTCTGGAATTCCTCTTCTGCCTAGAAATGATATATAACAGGCGTGTGCTTACACCAGAGAAGAAGCCACTCCCATGCCCAAGAGCACCATTTAATGTAAAACAGAAGAAGCTTATGGCAACCTAGAAAAATTCTGGTAAGGACAGACGTTTAGTTAATTTCTACATCATGTTCAATTTTTTTAATTAAACACGAAACGTTAAAACTCACTAAGATACACAATGAGGTTGATTACAGTGGTTATTCTTGTAGTTCCTGGCTGATTCATTTATTCACTGGATCATTTATTAACAAAAATGTGTTCATTTCTTGACACATAGACAGCTCTGCTCTAGATACTAGACGTGGATGGTCATCTAAGAAAGTACCAGTGTTTTGGGAACACTAAGTAATGCATGATGTATTGTGAAGAGGGATTTGCAATCTGTAATGCAATTGGGAAGATGAGTGCAGAAGAGAGAAGTTTCCACAGACAGAAGGTGATATTTTAACTGAGTCTTCAAACACCAGAAAATATTTGCTAAAGAAGAGGGTGTGAAAGAAATCACAACACTTAGGGTGGTGGTCCTTGGGGTAGAATTCTTGCTTATCTGGCCTGTGAACTTGTCAGAATGCTTTATGACTCTACAGCTCTCAGACCATGGTATGAAGGGAAGATAATATGGATGAAGTGCTGAACAGGGTGCCTGGCATCTCTGAGGCCTCTTCGCTGTTATTACAGCTGCATAAGAGCTGATGTGTACGTCTTGAGGTTTGCTCAGACTGTGTGTATGGACAAATGAAACTGGGGAGGGAAAGATCTGAAAGTTGGTAAGAATGAACAGGTAAGTAAGCATCGAACCATGAAGGTGTTACATGTTATGCTCAGGAATTTAGGTATTTTTTTTTCCTACGGGGAATGGGAATCATTAAAAGAGTAAACAACAGAGAAACATATGTAAATGTGTGAGGTAGGAAGACTGTGGGGCAGCTGTGTGTAGGCAGAGAAGGCAAGACTGGAATCAAAGAGAGTAGTGAGTAGGTGACATCAGCCAGCTAGCATCTTTTATCATACATGATAAAAGCCACTGAAATGGGTTTTCTAAAAGAGAATTAAACCTATGCAAATTGAGCATATGTCTGCCCTCTGAGATAATCGTGACTTATGTGTGAAAATTTCAAGCTTGGTGTCCTATCCACACGTACACAACATTTCAGCCTTGATCACGGACCACACCGTAGAAGGAACAGCAAACACGCTTAATGCTTTCTTTAATCATGCAATACTGAACGGGGCCAAAGTTTATTTTGATCAAAATGTGGGAGTCAGTGTCACCAATGTGAACTCTACAATAACATGAAGAACTTTAGTTAAAAACGATGGAAAGGAGCCCACTCTATCATGTTTCAGTTAAAATCCGTCCTGATTCCAATCCTTCCTGTAAAAAGGAAATACTCAATTTCATTTTTTTTTTTTTTTTGGTACTGGGAATTGAACTCAGGACCTTGTGCTTGCCAGGCAGGCACTTATGCTGCTGAGCTATATGCCCAGCCCCAAAATACTCAATTTTAAAAAGCAAAATTGCTACAGGTCATAAGATACTGAGTGGTACTGACTGTAGGGTCAATCCTCACCTTAGAGATCCGACTCTCGTCCTTCCTCTTGGAGCTCTGCAGGGCTTCCAGATGGTGGCGGGCACTGTCATAGTCCACCAGCTTCCTGCTGCGCTTGGCGATGCGATTCTGCCAATAAAGAAACACACTGAGAAAGAGACGCAGTCCGAGTCTCTCTGACTGCCAAGATGCATTCCTTGTCCAGAACACTGGAGGCTTTTGACCAGAGATGGATGTAAGCAGGAATTTCAGTTGGTAAAGGACCCTGGAAATCAGACTAGCACATCCCATCCTCTGTGTGGAGACCATTAAGGAAATATGTTCCATTTTGATCATAATTAGGCCAGCCAATTATAAGGAATTGAAGGCAGAGGTTCCAGTCTAAGACTAGTGTCTTGGTTACTTTTCTCTCATTGCTGAGACAAATTAAGGAAGGATTACACCCAGAATTAAGGAAGAAAAGGTTTATTTAGCTCACTGTTTGTGGGGATTTCATTCTATAACCAGCTGGCTCCAAGGCAGAGTGGCACATGGCAGAGGACAACTGTTCATAGCAGTGGAACATAGCAATGCAACAAGAGCAAAAAGGAGGAGTGGCAGGTGAGCAGCCTCTTTTCCTCCCTTACATTGTATGCAAACTATCCGCCCCAGGGTGGTTGTAGCACTCACACCCATAATCCCAGCATTGGATCAGGGATCAATCATAAACTCTGAAAGCCGAACCCACAACTGCATGAGGCTTTGGGGGAACACCCAGACACAAACCTTAACAACCAGGAAAATTCCAGAGTTGGTTTGGGACAATGGGTAAACCTATATTTTCCATTAGCCTCTGCTTTAAATCTTAAACTGTTTCAGTTTAAACACAGTAGGAAACTACATTAAACTTGGCTTTATAATTTTAGTGACAAACTAACAAAAGTTCTATAAAACAGTTGTACTTCCCGAGAAAACCCTTTTCCTACCAGCCTTTCTCAGTCTTTGGTTGATAAAGTCACCTGAGCTGGTGTCCAGCACAGAGGGGGAGACAGCCCTCATGAGCCAGGTCTTTCCCATGGGCTCCACGGGAGGTGATGAAAAAGTTTGGGGCAAGACACTCCCTCACCGTACCAGGAACAACAAAGTGATCTGTGGCTGCCAAGAAATAGACATGAAGGCCTGCTCGTCACCACAGACCATGTTCTCTCCCTAAGCACAAACTCTAAGCTGCTTGATGAGGGAACACCAAGCCCTCCTCCCCACAGAGGCAAGACAAAGACTCGCTTCTTCTGGGTGAGGAGAAGGAAAATACAGGATACAGGCCAAGATAAGGAAAAAAAATCTCAACCCATAGGAAAGGGGTATCAAACCTTCCAAAGGCCAAGACTTGCCTTCTGTAAGAAGCACAGTTCTTCTCCTACTTGAGCAGGGCAAGAAAACTCTTAAGACCAACCACAGATATGATGCTGACTTTGCTTAAGTCAAAGCTGAGAAAGTATAATGTTCCATAGCCTGCCTCCAACATAAACCCAGCACTGAAAATCAAGCAGTAGCTGCCTACTATATAAAATACAGGCAAGCAGGGCAACTGAAATCTGATAGGGACCAGGAATACTGAGAAAAGCCCTCCAGCACACAGGGGCACACCATGTTTAAGTCAAAGAAGAAGCTCAAACTAGATTTCAACCCAAGAGTCTAAAATTACTGTAGATGCTAGGCATGGTTATGCACGCCTGTATTCTCAGCACTTGGGAGGCTGAGGCAGGAGGATTGTTTCAAGTTTAAGACCAACCTGGGCTACAAAGTGAGCTCAAGGCCAGCCTGAACTGCATAGCGAGACCCTGCCTCCAGAACACAAGCAAGAAAGCTAGAAAGCAAGAAAGCAAGAAAGCAGGAAGGAAGGAAAGAAGGAAGGAAGGAAGGAAGGAAGGAAGGAAGGAAGAAAGAAAGAAAGAAAGAAAGAAAGAAAGAAAGAAAGAAAGAAAGAAAGAGAAAGAAAGAAAGAAAGAAAGAAAGAAAGAAAGAAAGAAAGAAAGAAAAAGAAAGAAAGAGAAAGAAAGAAAGAAAGAAAAAGAAAGAAAGAGAAAGAAAGAAAGAAAGAAAGAAAGAAAGAAAGAAAGAAAGAAAGAAAGAAAGAAAGAAAGAAAAGAAAGATTCTGTAGGGGTTAGAATATAAACAAAATATCAGCAGCCCAATTCCAGAAAGTAACAATAGCAACAACAAAAACCAAATCCAGCTCATATCCTGATGAGACTGTTTCCAGTTCCTCCCTCAATAACCTGAGAAATAAACTTGCCTATTCCCAGGCATAAATATTACTTCAGTCTTCATTATCCTGTATATGATGTCTGGCATTCATGAAAAAATAGCAAAGCATACAAAAACAAAAGAAAAATAACCCATGGAGGGTAAGAAACAAAGCAATCAACAGAACCAGACTCAGGCATGCCTCATATGTTGAAAGTAACAAATAGAAATTTTTAACTTTCCCTGTACCAACTCCCCACAAGGAATGTAATCATGATGTACTGCAAAAAATTAAAATTTAAAAAACCGCACATATTTCAGGATGTGGTAATCCCATCAAACAATAAAATGAAATAACTGCCATTATTTTAAAGTATCTAGTTTGACAAAGTAGGCAGCATATGTAAAACGGTGGGAAACTTCAGCAGAGATGTGGAAATTTTAATATCAAATGGAAATAGATTTTTAAAAAATGGTATCAGAGTAAAAGCTTGGGGATGGGACAATGACAGATAATCTTGGTGGCTGATTTGACTGGATTAAGAAACATCTAGAAAGGTGCTTGGGTTGTGAGGGTTCTAATTTCATGATAGATTAACCCACTGAAGAGTTCATGGCTACACGGGCTAGTCAAAGGAAAGGCCTACTTGGGGGTATGAGTTCAAAGGGCATCACTTTTTTCTAGCTCTCTCATTCTTGGTCTGCTTCCTGGCCACCTTCCCGCCATGACTGTCTTCCTCACCTCAGTCCCACAGCAATGGAACCAGCCCACCATGAACTGGAAACTCTGAAATCATGGGTAGTTACTCTCAGTGAGTTACTTCCAGTCACTTTTCTCAGCATCTCCCCTTTCCAATGGTGTTGGTGGGGAAAAGCTTCCAGAGGGACACACACAGAGTTGTTTAAAGAGATATACTGAGCAAGCCCAGGCAGGGCAGAAGGAAACTCTCCCATAATGTAGGGTGGACACTACCCATAAGGTGATAAAGCTTATTATCTTCAACAAATATCTAACTGTCACCTTCAAAGGAGCCCTGTCTCTTGAAGTAGTAGCCTACGTATCTAGAAGGGAATTCCTAGAAAGCCCTTTTTTATGGACTTGATCTGGGGACACCTTTAATATCTTCCAAGTAGTAAATTGTGGCCCTTGGAAGATGGATTTGATTTTTGAAAAGAGCTGAAATTCAATTACATCTAAGTCTGGGAATGAGGAGGGAAGAGTATACTGGGTAATGTTATTTTTGTTCAGAAACAAGAAGTGAAGTAAGTAATGCGACTCATTTTCTCGTATCACTGGCAAATCAATTACAGAAGCCAGCTTCCCAGTGTAGAAGGGACTATTTCAAAGGCCATCACTCATTTTGACACACACATTTTTTGTGTTGGTAAAACAAATCAATCTTATTTCTGTTCATAAGGAATATTTGGAAAACTTGGGAGGAAAACAAAACTGTGAATCTTATAAATAAGAGTAGCATTAAGGCACATTTGATTTTTAATAAAACATGATATAATTCATCCAATAATAAATTTAATTTAAAAATAAGTAAGCTTCATATTAAGCTTACTTCAAATAATAAAATTAATTACCATTTCTTGGGATTTCCCCCTATGCACTGGAAATAATATATCATACTTTCAAAAATACCCTCGGCCATAGCACCAAATAGGAATTCATTTTAGTACCCTGTACTAATTCTATGCTTAGCTTGCTTAGTTGCACATGCATGACGGCCAAGATAAAATCTAAACTACATTTTACAATAACTGTGCACAGCGATAAGCCTTCCTGGGTTAGTGACAAGCAAGCTCTTGTCATAACATTAATTTTAGATGTAATGGCACATAATGGGGACCATAACACAGGGTGCCCTGCCAGTCACAGCCGGAAAAGTCAAACATCCTCTGTTCCTGAATGGTACTTCATACCCCTCAAGGACGGGCTGCAGTAAATATTTGGAAATTTGAGGTTTTAATTGTACTAGGCCTATTGATTTTCATGAGAATTAAGGAAGTGAGTTGTGTTCCATGCTTGGAAAATTCTCCACTCAGCATTTTTAATCATAATCTTTCTTTCCATCAATAACCCATGACTGCATAATCACTCAGCATTCACTTCATGAAGGGATAGAGTCTATATCTACTTTTAAATTCTATTCACTGAGTAAAATATATAGAATAACTTAAATCCATTTTCACACAAGAAAAATCTTTTAAATATTAAATACAACTATGTGTCCATGGTCCAACTCCAAATTGACTCTTTTTCAAGTTATACGTTGCTCTTTCCTCATTGTTTGTCATATTGCGTATTCTGTATTTTGGTTGATAACCTCTTTGTATGCTCCAGTCTTCTAAATGGAGGGAGAGAGAGAGAGAGAGAGAGACAGAGACAGAGAGAGAGACAGAGAGAGAGAGACAGAAAGAGACAGAGAGAGACAGAGAGAGACAGAGAGAGAGGAGAAAGAGGATGCAAAGCTCATTCAGCCTTTTTCTATAATATATGCAAAACTATGATTTGTATTTAATTTATATTCAGAGTATCTAGCAAAAGTCTTAGATGATATTACTCATAAATTTCTAAGTGATTCAGTAACCTAAGGATCATCTTTGGGTGTGAACTCAAACATAGATCCCAGGAAAAGAAATACAATGGAGGAAGTTATAATAAGTACTTTATCTTTTTGACACAGAATAAACTGAAACAAGCCAGTACCATCTATCATGATTTTGTTTTGATCTCCCTTATGCTTCACCACAGGTACTTCAGTGTATGTTTGTCATCTAAATTATACTCTCTTGGAGAGTGTCACCAATTTTTAGATAAGTATCTCTAAGGAGTTCCACAGCAACTAAGATCTTCATGTTTTGCTGGGGATCCTAAGCTTTCATTCCTAAAACTCAACAACTTCCAAGTCAGTTACAGCTTTCTGTTGCTAAGCTAGAGTCATAATTAGACAAGCTCAAGCTGCCTTGGAATTTTCTGGTAAGAGGATATTTTTTTTCCCTTATCCTTTTCTGATTTATTAGGTATTGATTTTCACACAGATTGAATCAACCTCTGTTATATGGGAATTCAATCTTCATAAAAATCAATACCTAATAAATCAGAAGAGAAACAGGAAACCCTGGCCTTTCTTTCTCCTGTGGATACACCAATTCGGTAGCATCACACAAACCAATTTCCTTTGCAACCCAGGAACTAGTTAAGAAGCTCCTGCAACTTGAGCAAGCACAAGTCAAAGCAGTGGTCGCAAGGATATCAACTAGTACAGAGTCACTTGAAACTGCTCTTTCCCCTGGCTCAGCTAAGAGTTAACTGGTAATAAACCACCAGCTCCCGGTTTTTATCTGGGGAGGGAAAGATCTGGTCCACCTGTCCAACGTTCCAACTTTCCTTGGAGCTTCACAGAAGACTGGCTTCAACACTCCCTGAGACCAGTGAGAACTGAGGAGGACTTGGATCTACCACACTAATCACTACAACTGCTTCGCCAAGCCCAGTGAAAGATCTCAGGTTCTTTCTGGTCAATGAAAAAGCTGGACAAGATCCAATGACCTAGCTTTTAGAGGCAGGGTATGCCTGTAAAACTGGCTCCAGTCTTGCTTGTCTCAGAACACTTTCTCTGGCTACAGAGAGGGGTTGCTAAGAACAAACAAAACACCCTGCACTAGCAGACACTTTGAGAAGCCTCCAAACTTCTCTGGCTGGGCTGATAGGTGAGGGTCCCCTGGATAGGGCCAGTCCATAAACACTGAAAGGGGTGACTGTTTTGTCTAAAGCGCAAACACCAACTCAGAGAGTCAAGGACAAGGAAGAGACACCGAAAGCACTTTCTGCCAGTGCTTTTAACATCGACAGTCCTCAACTGGCTATATTTAGACTGGTCTATTCAGGTTCTTTTCCAGTGCCTCTGTTACCCCAAAATGCTTTCTGCATGTTGGTCAATGATCTGTAGGCATAATATGTGGGAAGCATAAAAATAGAGCCATTGCCATGAGTACTGTTTTGGCTAAAAAGCTTCAGTGTCATGGCCAAGACCACTGCACAATGCTGCAAAAAGTTTTCTGGTATTTTGTCCATCAGGATAAAGAAGGCAGGAAAAAGGGGGATTAAGCATCATCAGAAGCCTAATGAGATACTTAGTGCAGATGCCATAAGGGGTTGATCACGGATGCCTCACTCCATGGCTGTTTTAGACAGTGTTCCACCTTCATCAGGGAAAACAAATGGGGAGGGGAGGGGTGCCACCCACTGCTGTATAAAACCTGAATGTTTGTTTAAAAACCATCTTTACCTCCAGTGCCATTTCCAAATCCACAGTATTCACTCTTTCATTTCTATATTGACCCTTGCAGTGGCGCTGTCAAATAAGATAAATGCTTTACAGAAGATGGTTTTTGGTCCACATCCCAATGTATTTAAAAGACTTATATCTTAATATAGCAATTTGAGCCTGAAAATTTCAAGGAGAGAGAGAAAAGCTATTTGAACTATGACCACATACAAAATTAACAGTAAATGAGGACAGGTCAGTTCCCTCTCACTTTTACATGGAGTTTCTCTCATCATTGTCATTACGGTTTAGTCAAATGAGAATCCTTGTTCAATGCCATATAATAAAAGGTTTGGCTACAAAGAATACTGAAATGTTTTGGTACATTTGATTTACGATTTTGTATCTACAGTCTTACAAAGACTTCTGGAAAGAAGGAAAAGCTGAAGCAGTTCATGAAAGGGGATACTGTGATTTCTGTGACTAGATTTCATTTCAAACTGATGGAAACAGAATAAAAATCTCGCACTTAAATAAATGAAAAGTTACCAACTGTTTCTGATGTTATTTCAAGGACTTTTAATTCTCCTCATCTTGTTCATGTTCCTATAACTACATGAGACCATTCAATTATTTCCTTTACCCACACAGAGTAAAATACCTTTATGTCAGGAAATTGGCCCAGATAGGTATCCAGTGTCAGCAAGGATCCATCCACTAGTTTTTGATGGAAGTCTTCCCACAGCACATCACATTTCTTAAAAAAAAAATGAGAAATAGATACCTGCTGAATTATTTTAATTGGATATATTCCACTAAATTTCTAAACCATCTGAAACTATAAAATTAGATGAATAATACTTTCCAAGCTATTAGGTGCTGGAAAGAGTCTAGATTACTTAAAAATAAAATCAAATTTAAAGACAATTTAGCCACAATGATAATTAAAGTATGGACTAAGAAATCACCTCATTTAAAACTACATTTCTTATTCTCAAAGAAGGTGGAAGTTTCAAAAGCTCTTAGAATCCCAATAGGCAGCCTTTGGAGCTAAAAGGCTTGCAGCAATCCCACAGAGACAACTTGCTTGTCTGAAGTACTGAAGTCATGAAATTAGAAATTAACCCAGAGAGAAGCAAACAACAAACCATTGCTGATGCCTACACAGAGCAAGTAGAAAATTTACAATCACACCGGGAAGGCTTTATAGCTTATGCAGTATCAACTTGATAAGTAATAAATACTCAGTGAATATTACTATCAACATGTTCGACAGTGGGTTAGATATGTGTGGTGAAGGGCATTTAATTCTCACAATAGCTTTTTTAATCAGAAAAGACTTGTTATTTCCAATATATACAGAAGAGATTACTGAAATCCAGAGATGTCATCTATGTTGGTCAAGGTCACACAGTTGATAAATGAAAGACCCATGCTTTAACCCAGATCTATCACCTTGAATTCATAGCTCTGGATCTGTATATTGCACCAGGCTGCCTTACCAGGGATGAAACTTCAGAGAAATGAACCTTCCTAAATCACAATTTCCCAGTTAAACACGTACACAGGTAAGGTGTCTCACAGAATCCCAGAAACATAGCAGATGCTCAAAACCACATTACTGTATTTCTCTCATTACTGCTTTTAGGATCTCCTGACTGCATATGACCCAATCTCTACCCTTTATTTCTTTTTAGTAGTTGAACCTTTAATTTGAGCTGGTCACACGGCTGCCTAGGATAGAGATTCTATTTCCCAGACTCCTTTGCAGCTAGATATAGCCTTGTGACCAAGTTCTGATCAATGGGGTGTACTTTTAGAAAGTTTCCCAAAAGATGCATCCATCTGCCAGACTTTATCCCTCTTAATGACTGGAATGCAGAAATGAGAGCTAACAGCCAGTGCTCAGCAAGTCCTCTTGAACCAGATGGAAACAGGCTAAGGGCAGCAAAGATGAGTCTTTTATGCTTGTGTGTCCACCATGCTGTACCTGGGCTTCTGACATCTATATTCCTTTATGGGAGAGATAAATTTCTACCTTGTTTAAAAAAATACTGTTTTGAATCTGTTTTCAATTCTTTTTCACCCTTCAGAAACTAACCCTAATTGTCATAATCCCCAATTCATGAATTTCATGCAAATGGAAAAATTTAAATGCACTGTAGAAAATGCTCATCTTCTGATGTGAGCAGATCCCCTGAACACAGTGTTCAGTTTCTTCATCATCAAAAGAGCCCGCATTTGCAACTGCTACAGGGGATCCCAAAATTCTGGCAGCCACAAAGACCAAGGTAGGACAACAGCCGTTCCTTTAAGGACTCAAATTCAGTGGCGGCTTTTACCATACATATCGTAATGGCACAGTATTCTGAAAAGATAGTAATAGAAGCTTTTATTATTCCCTTAAAATTCCTCTTTCATGCTGAATAATCTTTCAGAGTATATTAAGTACTTAATAATCCAGTGTTGAAACATAGCGTCTTTCTAGTATAAGAAAATATACGAAGATGCAATTTCTTTATAATTGTATCTGAAAATGATGTGCCACAAATGTTTTTGACTAATCCACATCCTGAAAGCTTTTGAAAGATGTAACAGGGCCAACAGGAGCTTTTCTCATAAACAGATCTGTTTTTATTTCAGTCCTAATGAGATTATGAAGATCAACACCAGGATGTCAGAACTGTCATGGAGCAACCAGGAACTCCACAATTAACCCACTTTTCCCAAGCTGCATAGACGTTCAGCTTATTGCACTAGACTTTCCCTTGAGCTTTGGTGGCCACATCTACTTCAGGTCTTCTGTACCTTAATGAGCTCCAGAGCCTCACCCCAAGTAGAGGTCAGGACAGACAACTGTTCTTTTTAACACAGAATTTGGAGGTGAGACACCTTGTCACATCAAGAATTATAATTAGTGCACCAAGCCCCAATTGGGTGACATGGACACACAAGCTTCCTATGTGTTATGAGTGGGTAAAGTTACTTTTCTCATTTTGTAGAGGGTGCGACTGAAGCCCAAGATTAAACAGTCCAGAGTCACACAGAGCTACTCTCATCTGTTGCATTCTGCTTTCCACAAAGTAGCGATTCCATCTGCTCACTTCCGGCCAGCCAGGCAGTACTCAGTTAGAAGTCAGATTTCAGGTCTTAGGACATGTCTAACCAAAGCTGAAACTCCTTTTAGCAGACAGAGGGACAAACTGGGGTCATAGGGGACCAGATGCTCTTTTGAGCTCTTGGGCCGGCTTTTGGGAAGCGCTGGAGTGAAGGACTTTACAACATATAATCACACCATGCTCCAGTTCCACGAGAAATGGGATGTTAAGGTCTGTAGTGAGGAGCAGAAAACTGGTATCATTATGTAGAAGAAAATCTTTAATGCACGGCTTGCTATGCAGCTGCTATAATCACCTTTATCTCTCACTGAGTTTGGAAGGCTCCAGGTAGCAGAAATTCATGCTGCCTTACTAACCTGAAATCTGACTTCTAACTGAACGTTGCCTAGCTGGCCGAAAGTGAACACATGGTCAGTGCCCCCTTGTAATTAAGGCTGTGAAGTATGAAAAGGGCCATCAGAGAACCAAGACTAGCCAGCAGAACCAGTGGGAGCCACCAAGACCCATGCCAGGCTTCCTGAGCCCTGCCGCATCGACACTTACCTCACCCACCATTTTCACATCTTCCCGCCCATACCAATCCGGTTCATAGACTTCATGCAGGGACTCAGTGAGCTTCATGGAGGCCTCCTGCATGCCTGGCATTGGAGGAAAACAACTGCTGTTACAGGGAAATGGGTGAGAAGGCTCTTCTCCTTTCCTCTGCTTTTCAAAGTTCAAGCGACCTCTTGAGTACCTGCTACGTATTTAAGGAAAAATTGTAAAGGCACAACTTCCACACACATCCGTAGTCACAACTTTCCTGGAGGGTCTCTAAGACTCATCTTTTCACGTGGTGTATTTTCTATTATTTGCATGAGGATGGCAGATATTGGGTCTTGGAAAAACTCAACACTGCCCTATTCTGAAATCTACAATAATAGCGTATCTGCTCTGTGTGCTATCAGTTTGCCAAAGGGTATACAACCATCAGTGCATTGAACAGCACTGGATCATAAGACTGCTGAGTTTAATTTTTTTGTTTGTTTGTTTGTTTTCCGGTACCAGGAATTGAACTCACGACCTTGTGCTTGCCAGGCAGGCGCTATGCCACTGAGCTAAATCCCCAGCCCAACTGCTGAGTTTTAAAAATAATATTAATCATAAGTGACTTCAAATATAAGAAGTAAAGCCATTTGAGAAGCAATTAAAAAGAAAATAAACAGGATTTTAGGGCATAAGAGCTCAAGGTGGTTACATGGTTTAAAATAGCAAAAACACTTAAAGTAGTTAAAAATAATTAAGGTTCCAGTGACCTAAAATTACTAAAAAGAAACAAACAAGAGCTTGTATTTTTTTGGTATTATTAAAGTTTATGAATATAATTTTAAATTAAAAATATCAGAAAGTTTAGGGTTCCTAATACTATGGGTCTTAAATTTTTCTTAGAGGTACATTCAGCATGCTACACAAATAGGGCTATAAATAAGAATAAAGATATGAAATTTCTGAGTGTGACATGGTGGTAAAATTATCACCAGTGTCTTTTCCAAGCTCTGTTCCCCATCCTCCAAAAGCAAAGAAGTTAAAGTGCAAGTGCTGGGTTGTGATGGAAACAGTTCATGGCTGAGCCCAGAAGAGAGGCAAAGGATGGCTTGGAGAAGCATTTTTCTAACTCTTGATGTTCACTATTAGCTAGAAGATGAGACCTGGCCAAGCTCATGTCTTTGCCTTTTCCACTAGGAGTTATTAAAGGGGCTGGACAAAGGACAGAAGATAAAACTTAATGCCAGTGGTTCAAAGATAGAAGCCATTCCTTAAACTAAAACTTGAAGCATGTGCTTGTCAGACAGAAAGTAGTCAATTCTGAGCTCAGCAATTAGACAAACCAAATAAAAGAAATCTGAAATGACAGAAGGACATTCCTGAAGAATGTGTATGATATTGACCATGCAATTTGGTATATCTTATCATACTTCTGCACTTTCTAGTCACATACATCACCCTTCACTTCCTCAATAATTACAGATATATTTTTGGTTCTTGTACCCCAAGGTCTGACAGCATCTCAAAGGCATGGGAGGTATGAAAGCCTATCCCCTTCTATCCCTGAACAGTGCATCACTGAGCTGGCAATGGATGTCCCTGACAATGACATGGATGGTTCATATGGTTGAAGTGACTTGGCTTGTAAAGTCAAGGTAAGAAAAACAGAGCCAAGTCACTACGGAGGAGTTATGCAGAGGTAGAGACAGCTAAAAATGGTGTAAAAACCTGCATCTATCCCCTAGCGCTCAGAATCCAAGCAGGTGAGAATACATAGTTACTTCTCATGGGGTCACCACCGAGGTGACAGCTATATTACCCCAAGTGTCACATTCATCCCCACCCAGGTGTAAGCAGATCTATATCACAAAGTGTACCCGTCAAACTCATGCCAAAAACTAGGCACTAGATGATGCCTTTCTATAATTCAGATGCCAAGAGGCTTCTGAAGCTTTCTTTAAATCTTTGTCTTGCGTCTGATGGATATTATAAATAGCCATGTGGATAGGTTCTTAACAATGTCTAAAGAGCAAAAAATAGAAATGATGGCTTTGTGGAACAGATGACCTTCGTGGTAAATAATAAAACTGATGGAAGCTTAAAATAGAATTTTCTAGGACTTTAGTCATTGAGGCCAAAAGCACAGTGTTGCGGTACATCTGTCCATTAGCAACCAAAAATAACCACTAGTTATTGGGTGGAAAACTAGTGATGGATAATTGGAAAGAAGTTGTTTTGATATAGAAATTATTTCCAAGCCATCTATTTCTTAAGAAGCACTCTGAGAGATACACAGGTATATTAATCAGCTTTCTCTCTGTTGGGACACAATGGCTGGCACGCACAATTTGAAGGAGAAGTTTATATTGGCTGATGGTTTCAGGTGATTCAGGCCATGGTTGGCTGGTTCCAGGGCAGGAACTTCATGGCAGAAGGGCGTGGCAGAAGAGAGAGCTGCTTAGCTCATGGGGGAAGCAGAGCAGGGGAAGAGCCCCACAGAGGAAGGGCCCAGGGTCCAAAGGCACGCGTCCAACGCTCATCTAGACATACCCAGGAGCGTGCTTTATTGATCTTGTAGGTGCTCCCAAGACAATCAACTGACACAGTTAAGTTGAACCACCACAAAAAGTGAGCACAAACTTTTTTCCCAAGGGGTATAAAGACTGTTAGCAATTGAGAACTGCTCTGATTTGAATGTATCTCCCAAAGCTCATGTGGATCATTGTTCAGAGCTGAGAATTTTAAGAGCCGATTAGGTCATGCAGGTTTGTCCTCATGTATGGAATTACATTGTGAGGAGGTCCCTCTAAAGGATGAGCTCACCCATTTCTCATTGTGTCGTGCCCAAAGGATGTCTCCCGTCAAGTTATGGAGCAGCTACCCAGGATTGGATCTCAGAATACCACCCTCCAGAACCAGAAACCCAATACACTTCTGTTCTTTGTAAACTATCCAAAAGCACAAGAGAAACAACTCTCTAGAAGCGTAAAAGACAAGAAGTTATTCTGCTGAAAGAACACAATAGAAAAAATACTTATAAGCTAAAAATCCAAGTTTCTTTCAAAAAAATCCGTATTAAATAATCAATATTAAAGTAGAGTGCATGGGGCTGGGGATTTAGCTCAGCGACAAAGTGCCTGCCTGGCAAGCGCAAGGTCGTGAGTTCAGTTTCCGGTACCGGAGAAAAACCAAAAAAAAAAAATAAAAAATAAAATAAAGTAGAGTGCATGGTAAATACTACCTCTGGCATTTAACAACATCTAATACCCAATATTTTCTAAAAAGATTAGTGATTTCCAGAACGGCAAAACAACAGAGCAGCATCCTATGTAGAAGAGGGATTATTATACTGTTGAATGGGAATTTCTTCCCTCTCTTCCAAATTTTGGACCTTTTCCAATGCCTTTCATGTAACATCCTCTCTTTCCATTTTCAGCCAAATTGCTGCTCTTCTATTTTCATCCTGTAAGACTGGTTGTATAGATTGCACAACCTCATGAGTACTCAGCTTGCATAGCCTCAGGATGGATGCTCTGGTTAAAAATAACATCAGTTCAAATATGTTGTGACAATAACCAGCAGCATCAGCAATAAACCATGAAAAGAATGTCTAAAACATGGTGAGTATCTAGCAGCTTTGCCTCACTGTTTAGCAGATAGCTGTTTAAGAAGCCAGCAGCTGCCTTTAAGGAAAGCAAGAAGGAAAATTCTTTCTCCTACACCCCAAAGAGGAAAACCAGTAGAAGCAAGGGTAGAAAAAATAAGCAGACGTTGAGGTGCATCAGGCACCCTGCCCCATAGGTCATACATGCACATAAAGAGTCAAGTGCAACTAGCACATGTTAATTATTTCCCCTGGGCCACGCTGCACTTGGAGGAAGAGCCTGTGTGTTCACCACCCCTGTGTGTGGCCTCCACTATCACCCACATGCAGTGACTTAATTCCAAATCTTGCCTGAATATCACCACTTGGAGGTCAAACCAGGACCTCAAATTTCGCTTGCCCCAAACCCCCAAAGTTTCTGTACAAAGCTATTTTCACTCCTGTTCCTAATCTCCATGAATGACATCCAATAGTCTCCACTGGAAAACTGAAAATTGTATTAGGTGCATCTTCTCATAGTGAATGTCTCACCAAGACACACAAATTCTGCCCGATGCCTGAAACCAGCCCTTCCTTTCCTCCCACTGCCACTGGCCTGCATTACAGGCTCATCCTATATTACTCGGCTTAGATGGATTCTAACCCATGAAAGAGTTTAGCAAAGTGCTTGGTGCACAGCAAACACTCAAATGTCAGCCATCATTATGAAAAATATTTTTGGAGTCAGCGTGGCATAAGAATTAAGACAACTGTTTGCAATCACCAAGGCTTTGTTAAAATCTTGGTTCCACTGCAGACCATCTGTGTGATTCTTAGGCAAATTATTAGTCATCCTGAACCACCATTTTCCAAAGCGTAAAATACCAAGAAATATTAAGAGTCCTTGCCACAATACTGTATTAGGAATTATACAAAATGGGGCATATTTTATCTCAGTGTCTGGCACATGGATACTCAAAAAATGTTTGCTAATGTTAAGCTATTGGTCTGGACCTCTGATAAAGTCATTGCAGGTTCCCTTTCTCCAGCCTGAATCCCTCACAATCTCAAAAGTTCTTTTTTCTAAGATGCTTTTCTGAACATATGACTTATTCGCTTGTCTCCAATAACTTAGTGACTCCCTTCTCCATTTTAGAATAAAGCCCCAAATTCATACAATACTAAAGCACTTCTTTATACAGATGTTGCCGCCCTTTCTAAGTCTCATGCAGCTGAGTTTTCTGCTTGCACCTCACTCCTGTACTTATTCCTGAAAGAGCATGGGCTGCTTCCTGCGTCCTGGCTCTCTGGTGTTTTCTCAACTTGAAACGCCCCTTCCATCCACCTCTTCCTACAGCACACTTAAGCACTTGATCAAGCACCATTATGCCTTCTTCCTGGGTCCACTGGAGACTAATACATTCCTTGACCCAGCCCCTGCCCCTGTGTAGTTAAAAGTAACATCAGTTAACTTTAAAAATAACATCAGTTAACTAATAACGTTAATCTATAAATTATACTGAATCACAAGGACCTACAAAGGTAAATGCCACCCAGAGAACAGTGCTAAAAAGAATAGAAGCCAGGTGTGGTAGCATATACCCATAATCCCAGCATTCTGGGAGGCTGAGGCAGGAGGATTGTAAATTACAGCACGGCTTGAGGAACCTAATGACTTAGTGAGATCATGTGTAAAAGTGAAAGGGTAAAAATGGGCTAGAGATTTAGCTCAGTGCAAGGGTAATAGGTTCAGGCTTCAAGGGGAAGTAGGGGACTTATTTAGTCCAGTTGCATAGACTCCTAGGGCCAGGGCTTGGAGATAGGGAGAAGATCATTTTGTGAATGGGAACCCAGAGCCTCAGAGAGGCTCAAAGCTTTTCTCAAAGTGCCTGGCACCCAGAACTCTCCCAGAGCAGACCTCATCTCTCCACATTACTGCCAAACTGCTGCCCCTGCATTACAGTGATACCAGTTATACCAGCTTATTTGAGAAAACAAAATTTAACAATGACAGCACTTTGAAAATGCAAATTATGACCAACTCAATGTATATCTACTGTCTTTAAATGTGTTTAAGTGTGCTTCCAAGATCCCAAATGCATTCCAAGAATACTACTCATTGTTTGAGACTCTTAGAAGACCGAAGCACCCTGCAGCCAGGTAACCGAGGGAAATCCTGCCACCCGACAGGCTGCCCAGGGCTCACGCTAGCACAGAGAGGGCTCTGAGAAGCTCAGTAGCAACCTCTTTCCACGTTGATCCAACCAGCTGTGGCCAAGGTCACTTAAAAGTAGGTTTCTCCTGGAGCACCACAGGTTAAGGGCTGTCAGCAAAGCCAAGAGAGGGGAAAGCTGCTGTACCCTTTCCTCTTCATGTGGAGAAGGGGCCATCAGAATTGGAAGCTACAGGCTGTCTCCTGCTTCTCTCTGGAGCTAACGTCTCACTCCCAATGGAATCTCCTTCCAGACCACATTAAGGAAAAGAAATTCCATGGTAAGTAGTAAAATAGAAAAATTACATAGACTTGGGAGAGTCCTCTCATTTATTCAACAAATTTATCTGTATTTTTAAATATCAACCAACGTGGAGAAATAGCCTGTGCTTGAAATAATACAGCAGGTATTTACATTCATATCTTAAATCAGTAATACTTAGAATGGCTTCTATTTTCTGGCCAAACTGTTATAAATACTTGAGGTTAATTTGGGAGCAGTTAATTATGAGCTCTATGAAGCTGTGGGATTAAATTTTCTGAGCCTTACTTCTTTGCAAAAGTAAAATAAAGTCAATGATATTTATCATATAGCTGTTCTGGGAGGTTACAAAGAGGAAACAGGCTTAAAGTGCTTAGCACGGAGCCTGGCACATAGTAAGTGCTCCATGAAAAATAGTAGTAATAAGCTGCAATTATTCCATTGTAGATGAAATAAAATCTGTGAGACCAATGCCCTATCTTGAGCATATGGGGTTTTTTGTTTTTGTTTTTCATTTTTCTTCTGGTACCAGGAATCGAACTCATGACCTTGTGCTTGCCAGGCAGGCGCTTTGCCACTAAGTTAAATCCCCAGCTCTGCAATGCCCTATCATTGGTTCATAGTTCAAAGGTATGTAAGCAAGAGACCAGGGGAAAGACCAACACAGTATTATCCCCTGACCTTATTGTTTACTAGGATGTGACCTAGAGCCAGTTGTTTAACTCTTCTGTGCATTTCTTTTTTTAAATCTATGTAGTGAAGATAATATGCAATTACTGAGAGGCCGAGGCAAGATGACCATGTGAGTTCATGAGCTTGAGACTATCCTGGGCAACATAGTGAGACACTGTCCCAAAAAAAAAGAAGAAGGAGAGGGAAAGGGAAAGAGAGGACAAGAAAAGAGTGAGAAGAGAGAGGAGAGAGAGGACAGGGAGGACAGAAGAAGG